TAAAACACATCGAAATTTTATTAAAAATATTAATAACAAAATATGAAACATAATTAATTGGCAGAAGTGTCAAATATGCTCATCTACTATTGTGAAGTGCTCAATTCCCACCACGAACTAAATTAAGTGTCAAATAGGTCCATCTACCAGCTAAATTTGTTCGATGGGCTTTTTTTGCAGGTTGCTAACAGGTTGCCTATTCAATTATTAAAAAATATTTAAAAAAATAAAAATAATAATAGTAATAATAATAATATAATAATAATAATAATAATAATAATAATAATAATAATAATAATAATAATAAAGAAATTTCAGCCACCGGGCGGACAGCCGGATTGCGTATTTCACAGACAGTCATGGCTATCCGGTGAGGACAGCCGAACAACCATGGTTGTCAAACATGAGGTCCAGATCTGGACCTCAAATGGCCTGGAACAAGAGGTCCAGATTTGGACCTCAAACAGCCTGGAACGAGGGCGGCAACCTCGTTCCAAACGGCCATGACCGTCTAAAAAAAAATCGCCAGATTTGGACCTCATGTCTGACAACCGTGGCTGTATGGACAGCCACAACTGTGAAATTCTCAGCCACCGGCTGTCCGGCGCCTATTAACAATGTGATTGTGTTGAAGCCAAGAAAAATTGTAAAATTGTGCTAATGTCAACAAAGGATTTGAACTTTAAACCTTCATTATAACTAAACATATGCTCTACCAACTAATCTATCACACTTCTTGTTACCATTTATATATCTGTTTGTTTATACTAATACTAAAACATGTACTATATATACATATATACATACAACTATTACATATGGGGTGGGGGCGGGGGAGGGGTGCAGCTGCTCCACTTTGGCTCCGTCCATGGTTATTATTATTATATATTTTGTATAAGGACATTTATGTCTTTTAGAAATCTATTCTTCAAAATATATATATATATATATATATATATATATATATATATATATATTCCATTTATATTCCTTTAACCAATCAAACAATGTAATACAATTCATGAGGTTTATTCATTCAGCGAACCGAACAATAGAATACAATTCTTATTCTAATCCTTACATATTCCTTTCCTTATATAATACTCCGTAACATTCATATTCCTTCAAAATTCATTCCGTGAACCAAACGGGTTGTAAGGTGGATCATAATCCTAGGAACAAGTAGCATCCAGGCTAATGGATGTTCTAGCTAAAATGCGTGCGCTCCGATTATCATTCATCATCACATGTTGGACGACCACATTACTCATGCTTTGTAATATCCCGACACAGTTATTAAGCACCAATCCCACGTAACTGCAGTCTCCATCCCTGCATGCTATGACGTTAAAGACTCCCAAGCAGTCTATCTCCAAAATTACATTAACTTTCCCTCTCTTTAATCCATGGCGAAGCCTTCCTACAAGTCATTACTTATGCCAACAAAGAATTCGAGTGATACTGCAATGGCTCCCAGACAGCTAAAAATATCTGTCCCTCACCCTCAATGAGCACATCCCCATAGTCTACCCTACTCTAATCAGGATATATCTATAAGTAATCAAAAACCTATTTAATTTTAGAAGGATGTATCCATATCTTTAATATTATCCTCTCAATATTTACATCTCTTAACAACTAATTGTATTATGTGTCAATTTATATAATTTCTTATTTTCATTCTCAAAAATAAAATACCACCTTCTAAGAAGAATTTTAAACCAATATTTACAAGGTCACGAAAATGCACTTCAAGTCTTCAATAATAATAATATTGAAAACCGGGAAAGAAGAAATATTGGGTGCTATATAGATTCTATGACTGTGTACCGCAAATGCGCAAACGATTGCTCCTACCTCTTTAGGGTTTCAGATGTTTTTCATTCTCACTGTTCTCCCAACTACCGAGTGCAAGACGATATTGCCTAACTTCAACGTGACGCCGACATACCTTTGACTCATCAGAGATTCTGCGCCGCTCCTTCTATTTGGTACAGTAATTTCAAGTTATTTTTGTCTACAAATTCGGCCAATTTAGCTTGAGTCGGTGTTCATTTCCTTTCTCTCTAAATTGTGTTGCTAATGATCTTGTATTTGATTTATGAACATGTTTATACATAAATTTACAAACTAAAACATTTAACATTAGATTCCTGGGTGAATTTCCTAAATTTCGCTGTTCCGGAAAATTAGTGAAATGCAGACTTCATTATCTGTTGATATGCTTTGGAAACTAAACTAATTGTTTGGGTTATTGAACATAGAATAAGTTTACAGAGTGTGGAGAGTAAGGTTTGTAGAGTGATTGTGAGCAATCTGGAGTCAAAGGCACAACATGCATCCTATCCTAGTCTGTGTAGGCTCAGTAAACATTAGGCATAAAGATGTGGGGAATTCTGAATGGCATTTCTATTGTCCTTTTTGCTTAATTTAGATTCTTGTCTGTTGCAGGTTCGACTTAAAGTTGGAGAGTTTAAAGTTTCCAGTGGAGCGTCAACATATCAATGGGTGCCCCAAAGCAGAAGTGGACATCAGAAGAAGAAGCTGCTCTTAAAGCTGGTGTAGCTAAGTATGGGGTGGGGAAATGGAGCACCATACTCAAAGATCCAGACTTTGCTCCGGTCTTGCGTGCTCGCTCTAATGTTGACCTTAAGGTATAAACATCCAACCTTTGGCATGTCTGGGTTGCATTTGAAGAGGCCTCAATTTCTTTATTCTTGAGTGGCAGCTAGTAAAACTAACAGTGCTGTCTAACTTATTTGTTTTCCTTTTTTTGCTAGCGGAAAGTGTGCTTATGAGCTTAACTGTGCAGGATAAATGGAGAAATCTCCATGTCATGGCAAATGGGTGGGGGTCTCGGCAGCGGGGTAAGATTGCTAGCAAAAGTACTCAGCCTATATCCAAACGTGATGATGACTCTATGGCTCTTACCACTCTGGCTGACAATGATATGGAAGTCCCTGATGCTAAGCCCCTTGCAACAGTTAGTGAAACACTGCCAGATGTTGGTTCTAAGAAGCCAATAACAAGGTTACCATACTTCCCACTCACTCAATACATACAGTTTGATATTCAAACCCTCACGAAGAGTCAAGGCATTCAATAATGAAATGTCATTTTTTTTCATAAACCTTGTCAATAAATTATCCATTGATAGTACTTGTTTTTTCAATGTAGCTTGGGTGATCTAATAATGGAGGCTATAGCCAAGCTGAAGGAACCTCGTGGATCTAGTCGAAATGCAATATCCATGTACATTGAGGTAGTTTCTTTGAGCAAACTAGTTAATTGGAATAAATATTATAGTTCAATGCAGAACCGTGATTTACGTGGATTAGTATTGCTGCATGGTTAATCTGTGTTTAGGAGCACTACAAGGCACCAACAAACTTGGAAAGACTGATAGTGGCAAATTTGAAGGACTTGACAGAACGAAGAAGGCTCATAAAGGTAATCAATGTCAAATACAGGTAGAGGTTTAGAACAACTGCAGTTAGGCTCTCATTTTAATCTACCAAGTCAAGTCAAATAATCAAATTATCACATGTTCCTTTGTTTAGCAATAAAATTTAGATACAAGCAGTGAATAGTAGGCCTGCATCTTGCTTGCTGGCATTGTTTGTTTTCAATCTTGGATTGAGATATATGCTTTTGTTTAACAGGTGAAGCATTATTACAGGATTGCACCGAGTGGAATGTCATTGTCTATTGATGTAAAGGGGGATCCTTCTCTGTTGCTTCTGGAGGGAAAGCAAACACATCCTCCAATGCCGGAAAAGAATGGAATAAGAATACTGACTAAAGCACAGATTGATGCTGAGCTAGAGAAAATGAGGAACATGAATGCACAAGATGCTGCTGCAGCTGCCGCACAAGCAGTTGCAGAAGCAGAAGCTGCTATTGCGGAGGCCGAATGGGCTGCAAGGGAAGCTGAGGAGGCAGAAGCAGAGGCAGAAGCGGCCCGGTGTTTTGCTGAAGCAGCAACTAAGGCATTGAACTATCAGACTATTCATGTCTGATAATTCTCGCCACCCCTTTGATTTTGTGATGAAAGGTGCTATGAGAGAAAGAGAAGAAGAATTATGTGGATAGTAGTGTAAATCTGGAAAATTTTGTCTATACAAAAGTCTGAAGTGCATCGTGTAGCATTGATGTCTATAGTTAAGTAAATTGAAGACAAGTGTAATGCAAAGTATGCAAAGTAATGTTATATCTGCAATGCACTTCAATGAGTGTATGATATTAAGGAATGAAATGCTTGATTTGTGAATTGCAGCTTCAATGTTGAATATAAGTCTCCCCCATTTGAAATCATGCCTCTATTTTTTTTTTTGTGTGTAAATCACACCATGGTCCGAATTTTTCTTTGTCCGTTTAACGGTTCAGGTAAACCCGATTCGCTCCGAAAGCACAGAAGTTGGCCCAAAGGAAAATCATGCCTCTATAAATTGTCCCTTTTTGTCATGCCAGGGTAGGGTATGTAATTCCCTTTTTGTCCAATTCCTTTCCCTCATTTCCTTCCTTCCAACCAAATGCCCTGTAAGTTCTTATTCTATGGAACTACACAGTACACACAGTGACACAAACCATACACAGGAAACCCATACTATGGCACTACACAGTACACACAGTGACACAAACCATACACAGGAAACCCTTTCGGCTCTTCTTAGGTGACGAGGGGAACCCCCATTCACTATGAGAAGTGTGCCTAGGGTTGTGACCCTAGTTAGCAAAAGATCACAATGAAGTAAATCAATCAATATAGGTTGTCCCGGCTCAAACAAAAAAGGCTAATGAGCCGACGCCTTAGGTAGGGTTGCCCCAAGTTTGAGCTTTGATATATCATACATGAACACCAAAATCCATGTATGCATAAGGGAAGTATGAAGTGGAACAGAGCAAGGCAGATAGTTTGCAAAAAAATTGTGTAGACCATTCATTCATAGGCTACTATATTCAACAACTTTGGATCAACTCAACATCAAGAACAGCAATTGTTCAAGTTCAAAAACACCAGACCAGAAAAATGCTTTAGCAATTCATAGACTGTAAAATCCCTAGTCTGAGTATATCGGCTAATGAGCATTGCAGGCTTTGCAGCAATATGAACAATGGGGCACAAAAATTTGATCAAAAACATAAAACTGAAATTCCATTTTCAATGACAGTTGTGTTATTCTACAATGAAAAAGAACAAAACTTGATTACTCGAGGACTGCAGTAGCACCCACTCCCTTAAGCTTGTCGATGAGGGCATTAGCTTCTTCTTTGCTGAGCCCTTTCTTCACCACCACCGGAACTTTCTCCACCAAATCCTTTGCTTCCTTCAAACCCAAATCTGTAAAAGCCCTTATCTCCTTAATGACCTTGATCTTGGCTGCTGCGTCGAACTTCTCCAGCTTAAGATCAAACACGGTCTTCTCTGCGGCCTTGGTTTCAGTGGCCGCAGCCCCGGAAGATGAAGAGCCCGATGAATCTAAGCCGGAGACTGCCGGTCCGTACCGGTTGAGGCCCATTTTGTGCCGGAAGAGGATGGCATAGTCGTGCCTTTCCAGCTTGGTGAGGTCCAGAAGCTCGCCAGCGATGCGCTCCAGTTTCTGGGTTCGCGTTTCCGTCGCAGTGCAGAGAGGCCGACACAGTAATGGTGTACGGCGGTGGGAGAGAAGTCTTGCGAGAGATTTGGAGGGAAATCTCGACATTGTGGAAGCCATTTTTAGGAGATTAAAACCCTAATCTTTCTTCTATCTGTTCCTACAGCATCTATGAGAAGAGAAGGTGATTATGAGCAGTACACTGCTGAGGTTTCAACTAGGGTTCTAAGATGCGACTCTCATCTCTCAGGGTCAATTTCTATTTTTTCTTAATTTACAAATTCGCCCCCTCCCAGTTATCCTGCTTATATATAGGTGATAACACATCCCTTTCAAAAGTGTGGCATATATATATATATATATATATATATATATATATATATATATATATATATATATATATATAAAGATTGAAATGTCTTTGTATTTAACGACATTTCAACGATTTTGTTGATTGTTAAAAATGTTCTAATAAAAAATGACTAAAAGTAGACAATAATTTATAAATTAGACTAAAAATCTCTCTCTCTCTCTCTCTCTCTCTCTCTCTATATATATATATATATATATATATATATATATATATACACACACACACACACACACAAAGATATACAAAGTACGTTGAATCGCTATATTTTTTATGTTTTTTTAAAAATTATAATTAAAAATTAAAATGATCTTATATTTAATGATATTTAAACTATTTTTTTGATAAATGACCAAAAATGGTCATGTTACAATAATATTAGGACCAAAAGTGGATATTCTGATAAAAATGACTAAAAGTGATATGACACATATAAATCTAGGACAAAAATTGGAATTAACTCGTATAGATATATGAATAAACGAGTGTTCAAGTGTGTGAAACATAATTATTGTGTCTAAAGATTACAAGTTTATTCTCGATTCTTGTCAATACCCTCTCAGTTGAGTCAGTCGCATAGAATTTTTTTAATGCAGTTTACCCATATTTAATATCACCTCATCCTCCACAATAATCAACTAAATACATACTATATGTGCAAAATAATATTATTATTCCATCTAAGTTGGTTACGGTTAGCTATGAGTCACAATACACTCTTCACCCAGAATACAACTTGATCAACGAGTCAAAGAATAATACTCCCTATTATTTTTGTCAAATCTTTTGCATTATTAATAGACAATAAATAAGAAGGTTTTTTGTCATCTAATTTAGTCATATGACCAAAAAAAAAAAATTACTTCATAACACTTTTTTTTTAAAAGAAAAAGATTAAAATAATATTTTATTACAAGATAGATACATCCCTTTGATTTATGAGAAACTCCATTGCCACTATCCAAATTCCAAAGGTAAAACTTTTGATGCGATTGACACTATTTAATCTACAACAAGCCTATAACTATGTTCACAGTAAGCTTAAAAGAGTTTCAACTCACTAGTGGCTTATTTGAAAGGGAAAAGAAGTCATTTTTTTTTTCATTTCCTTCCAGGACTCCAGTATCTCATGTGCTGAAGGCACCTCTGTTACATGTGAATCTTCTTCATCCTCACTTCCAGGCAACTCCACATTTAACTCATCAAATTCATCGAAACAATCATCAGACATTGAATCATCTTCATCAAAATGCTCGAGAATTGTGTTTGGAAAAACACTCTCATCACCATGATCATTACTGTAAGATGAATTCTGAACTGACTCCCACTCACCTTCATTCTCGCTGTCCTCATCATCCTCTCTGCCAATTGTTCCACTGATACTAAGTTGAGCTTTCTCAGAAGAGTAGAGAGTGGCTGTTTTTGCAGAAGTGATGAACACAGGACTTCCATCATTACTAGGTTTCAGATCACTACCACCCCTTGAACTTGTGTAGCTTGAATCGTAGACTCCACAGAGAGATCGTAGCGCTCTATACAGATTTAAGATCGTAGGTTCTGTTCTCGAACCCTGTTTGCATTGTGTTTCCAACAATTCTTGCAAATCAGCACTCGTAATCCTATCTCTGTTATCGTCAAAGAGCTCAACCCACTCTTGTTCGCTGATTTGGAATGGTGCAATAGCCAGCATGTTGATAATGGTGAAAACTCTTTCATAGTCACACTGTGAGGTTGCATTACACAAAATCTCAGTGAAGAACGATTGATGAGGCACCTCACCAGCTTCTAAAATTGTGTCAAATGCATGATCTAGTAAATGTCCCTGTATCAGGAATGGAAGTAAGGTAACCCTAATTAACAACGCAGAAAAATAGAAAGAAAAGTACCCTTAAATATCATAGGTCTCTTAATAATAAACCAAACATGTATACCATGTTGCTTTTTCTCTTTGTTCAAGGAGCCAAAGCATTCTAGCGAACTTAGTTGTCACTTCAAATTTTTGCTAAGAGTTAAAATTTTGGAAAGATTTCTGCTTAAAATAATCTGCAACGCACAACTGCAGTATTTTTTTATTTTTTTTACCTTCCCAGCTTTTGATGCATCCACCAGCAGGTATGCATGTTTCTTTTGATCAAGCTGATATCCAACTAGGGACATCTCCTTGTAGACACTCTCAAAATACTCCCACTGGAGAGCACGAGCAGATGCTTCAAGCATTGAACTGAATGTGTAAATATCTGGGCTAAGGCTAATTTGAGAATCAACATCAACTTTCTTCGTCAACTCATACAATTCCTTGGCTTCAAGAAACATATCATTACGGCCATAAACCTTCAGCATGGCATTTATGATTCCAATGTCAGGTTCACAGTAGTTTTTACTGTGCTCATATATAGATATACAATTGTCAACGTGTCCACCATCCATAGAAGACAATATCATCCCAGTGAAGGTAACTGCCAAAGGTCTAATCCGACGAAGGCTTCTCAGCTTTTCAATCTGCAAAAATGTTTCAAAGGAATAGATATAGCTTGTCTTTTGTCTGTCATCATGATCAATCTTTGTTAAAGGGACTGAATTGAACTGTTGATTGTACCATCTAAGTTTCAGTGATACCATGCAAAACAATAGGCCACGTATAACAAACTTTAGGAAAAAACAACTTACCTCTAAGAAGGCACCTTCCAAATTTCCATGATAGCAAAGGCAGCAAGCCAGTTCGTAATACACACAAGCAGTTCCAACAACTCCCCTTTGTTCCATTTCCCTTACTGCTTGAATGGCTTCATTGACTTTTCCTTCTTCCCAAAAGGTTTTAACAAGAACTACATTCAAGAGAGCAGATGCTGAGCTACCAGAGGACAAAAGACTACAGTATTCTGGCAGTTTAGAAAACAGTAATAATACCTTTATACGTAATAGCTTTCACGGCATTCCCGCTTCTTTTCATTTTCTCAAAGAACTCATGGACAAGGTCATACTTCCCAGATTGCAACATCACCTTTTATCAAGAATTTGCTGTAAGGTTTCAATTGCAAATGCAGCTTGATGATAAATGAAATGCCTTAGATGTTAAAAAAAAAAAAATCTTTTATCCTTCCCGTTTTAGAGTGCTTTATATGAATCATAAAAAATAATTTAAAAAAGGTCCAATTAAAGCGAGACTTTGACAAATATTCCAAAATACTCCTATTTACAACTAGGTTAAGCATTACCTCCATTGCAAGTCCATAGGTTGCTCCAGTGGGTTTCAAGTTGTTCTTCCTTAGCTGCTGAAAGACCCAAAATACTCCTCTCCATTGGCGGGATGGAACACAAGCATTTAAAACCTAGACCATTAGGTAGTGAACAAGGCAATCACACCAATAAGTAGATTGTAGAATATATATCAGAAGATATTCTGACACTAGTATGCACTGGTCACCTACAGCATTATATACGACAATATCTGGTAGAAGTACAGGGTCCCAGTTCTTGCGCCGCATATTTTTTATTTTCTTGGGTTTTTCCTTCATGCAGTCAATGATTTTGATCAACTCTTTCAGAAGACCAGCTTGGCCAAGTGCAACACTCACACTATGGTAGGCAGCCATGTCAGGATATATTTGGGCATCCCCCTAAACACCGAAACATGTTAGCGTTTACCGTGATATACACAATCCATATTTAAGAGGAACCATAAAGATTATAAAGTTTTGTAATTACTCTCATCAAACTGAACACTTGAAGAGCTTCATGAGGCCTCCTAGATTTTCCCAGAACTGCCAAGAGCTTCGTATAAACAAACCTAATTAAAGAAGCATGTTTGATTTAACAAAGATCATTATATTGTATGCTCATTTAGGTTTATATATTATATATGTTCAACACGGGCTCGTGGACCATACCAAATTGAATAATGTGTTCCATCTCAACTAAACTGATAGTTGAATTGCATTTATATAATATTTACTCAACAATTAGAAGCTCCAAATTCATTTGATTGGCCACTAGATAGAAAAAATATACATATATACCTGCTTTTGAAATGTTTATACTCCTTCATGTTGTAAACCCATTCAACAACAGATAATGCATGTCTCCACTGTCCTCTGTCCCCGAGACCTTCTACTAATCTCAGCATTTGCCGTTCTGTAAACTGCAGCCCAGAATGTTTCATCATCCGAGAAAACTTATAATTCTTCAAACCTATTTCCATACCGCTCAATCTATAACGAAAATGAATTGTCACTAATCAGCCATGGAGAATCAATGCATAATTTATGGAAACACTGAAAACATTACGCATACTTGTTAATGAGAAATCGAATTGCCTCAGCTTCGCCTCCTCTGCGCTTTGGCGGGACCCAATTAGACCTCTGATTACCGAACCATCCTTGTTCAATCTCAACGTCGGCATCCAGAAGCCACCGGAACTTATCTCTTTCGCTCTGGATAATATCGCCGAGTTCCCTCAGAGGCTCGTCCTTTAACTTGTCTCCAAAATACTGCTTATTTTCACTTGAAAATTCCTGCAATTGAAGCTTCTCAAGTCGCTCCCACGGCCGTCCCATTAGTTTCCCTTCATTTTTTGCGGTTATAGTTCTGTTGAATCTTTTATACTCGGATTTGACGGCCTGGAAGTGGGACTCCTCGGCCAGAGTTTGTTTCTGGGCGTCGGTGAGGGGCGGTGGCTCCTTGGCGGCCTTTTTGGCGAGACGGCGGTTGAGTTTCTGGAGCTGTTTTTTGCGGATAGTGTGTATGATTTTGGGAGTTGGAACGACGCCACTTTGGAGAAGCTTTTGCTTTATCTTTTCGACGTCGGGTTTGGGCAAATGCGAAGCTCCCGCCGATACTTCCATGGAAGGAGGGAAATTGGGAGCTGTCGTATTTCTTTTCTGGACTGCCGTCTGTGGAGCAAGAATTATCTCTCTCTTTTTGAGCAAACATGACACATTATTACTTTTTTTTTTTTTTTTTTTTGAAAAAACAGTAGTTGTTTCATATATTAAATCAATCCTGGAATTGAAATGACGTTTTGTTTAAACTGAAAAAAAAAAAAAAAAAAAAAAAAAAAAAAAAAAAAAACAAACAAACAAACCTTTTGTTTGAAATAGTAAAAGTGATGAACTGATGAGATATTTTACTAAATTGCAATTCTACGTTGATTTTTTAATTTTTTTTTTGCATATAAATTAATATAAATATTTCTTAGATCCATGCGAATTTGATCCAAAATGCAGTAGTGATGCGAGTTTTTTCATAAATTATTAATTGTTAACTATTATTAATTTAATAAATTTATCAATTAAAATTTTGACATCTTCTGAATTAGCAAAGGAAGTAATAATTGTGGAAACAGACAAACGTACTTAGTTCTTGAACTTAAAATTAGTTTGATTAAAAATGTAAGTATAACTATACAATGTAATATTTAATTTTTTAAAAGTTTAATTATGCTATTATTATGTTGATTATAAAGTTTATTGTTACTTGTATTATTATTTGAATTTAATTTTTTTTTGAAAGAAATTTGAATTTGAAATATCTACTTTAATTATATAACTAACATATTTAAATAAAACTTGTAAATAAAATAACAGGCGATATTTGTAGAACATCTCAACCAAAAACTTATTCATTTGAAAAAGATTACTTATATAAGAATTATATTTATTTTATATTTAATTCCCCTCTTTATATATGTAGAGTCAAATTAATTATAATTGAGGTTTAAATGATATATATACACAAATTTTAATAAATATAAAACTTTACCAATAAACTTTTTTCCATACTTCATTATGTTTTAATATATATAGAGATAGAGATAGAGCTATAATAATAAAATATTGGTAGGGAATATCCCGACCGACATAGCTTTACCCCGACCGAGCTGCCTTTGTCTTTTCCTCTTTGTCTTTGCAGGTAACAGGTCGGGCTTCATGTGAAGAACTCGGTCGGGATCTGACCGGGAGTTGCCCGAGCGATAGTGTCGACCACCGAGCGGTAGCCCTTTGGCGAGAGAGCTGACAAAGGACATGTGGCGGCTCTTTACGACGACAGATAGGGCACCCGGGAGGATGACACGTGGTGGCTACGTGGAGAGCATGCCGAACGACCGGATTTGTGTCTCCGGTGCAGCGGCTATAAATACCCACAGTAGCTACAGCGTAGGGGACTTTTGGACGATCGATAGGTTGTTACTAGAGAATCCCGACCGCAGCCAGTCGGCACTCAGAGCAACCAAGTAGATTGTACTTAGGGCCTTTACCGTGATCAATAAAGATATTTACTTGCTTTAATTGGTCTCGGGCTTATTTTAGTTATTGCTTACGTAGAATTAGCAGTATCATTTTGGCGCCGTCCGTGGGGACCCGTGCAAGAAAGCAACGTCTTGACGAGCACTCGGTTCCTTTGCAACGATGTATCTGTGGGCATACAACAATTTCGCCGACGACCAGGTGGATGCAGCGAGTTCATCCGATCACCACGCTTAGTACTGTCAAAGCGGGCCAGCCCGCCCCACAGCGGGCCTAATTTTTAGTGGGCTTTTACGGGTTGGCCCGCTAGGCCCGCGGGCTAGGGTTCATGAAACACTAACCCGCCCCACGCGGGTTGGCGGGCCCCGCGGACTTTTTATTTATTTATTTTTTTTTAATAATTCAAAGTTAAACAAAATAAGTAAAGTTTAAAAAATTATATATGATATATATATATATATATATATATATATATATATATATATATATATAAATAATGAATGCATAGAAATCGAAAACTTAATAAATGAAATTAAATAAACAAATATATATATATATATATATATATATATATATATATATATATATATATTAACGAATGCATTATATAAGAAGCCACAATCTTAATTACTTCGTATGTCGTATCCATAAGTGTTAACTGATTTGGCCCGAGGGTTGACCCGCAGCCCGCGCGGGCTAACCCGCGTGGGTTGCGGGTCAATTCCAACCCGTCCCGTTAGACCCGCATTTTTGCGGACCTATTTATCCATGACCCTAACCCGCCCCACCTTGGGGCGTGGACGGGCCAACCCACGGGCTTCGGCCCATTTTGACGGTACTAACCACGCTACCCAACAGCAAGGTCAGACGGTGGACTTGAATCTTAACCTCTCACCACCGCATCCATCCAACACATACCCGGCTGCCCAACAGTCGGTAAATTACATTCAACCGGGATACCCAACACCCGGTCAGCCGTATCCACAACAGTCGGCGATGTATCCCGGCCAATACCCGTACCCGGTCCCACCTCCGCCATACGGGTACTGGCCTGGCCAACCGATGTACTACACTCCCCCGGTTGGATATCCACCATATACGCCTGCATACACGGCTCCAGCCGCCGCCCCTCCAGTTCACCCGACCGCACAGGTAGAGCCGCAGCATCAGTCCGCTTCCCGGGCTCGACGCTCGGCTCATTCGCGGTTGGGGTCGGGGGGTGCTGATGCGATGGAGGCACCATGGCAGGCCCAGCAAGCGGCCGAGGTTCCCGCCCAAGCGGAGGATCCCGAAGAAGTTGCCCGAGCGGCAGCTTTCAATCGTCTTCGACCGGAGATGCGTCAGCGTTTGGGACCCCAAGACCCGAACCGCCAGCAAGAAGACGTACAGATGCAGGAGGCCAGCCAGGAGGCTTCATCCGGGTATAGCGGGTCGAGATCTCACCGACGACGACGCGCTCGGGACGCAGCTCAAGCTGCCTAAGCCGCCGAGCTCAACGAGACCCGAGGATTGCTCTACAACCTCCAGGCGGAGTTTGCGCAGTTCAGAAACGCGCACCCTGCAGCACCCCCGGTCGACCAATCGACCTTGCACCAGACGCCTTTTACAGCGGCAGTGATGGCGCAGCCTTACCCGCTTGATTTAAAGGTCTCGGGAGAGAAAAGTTATGATGGTCGGACGGACCCCGAGGTCCACGTTAATGACTTCTACAGCAATATGATGTTGAAGGGCGTGTCAGACGCCGTAATGTGTAGGGCTTTTTATTCCACGCTTACCGGTCGAGCGGCGGAATGGTTCCGAACCTTGCAGCCGGGCTCGATCGACAAGTTTGACACCTTGGCGATCAAGTTCGTGAGGAAGTTTGTCACTTCCAAGGTGGTGAGGAAGCCCTATATGTATCTGGAGAAGGCCAAGCAGCTTGAAGGGGAGAGCTTGACCGATTTCCTCGTCAAATGGAAGGCGGCAGTCGGGGAGGTCGAGCCCATGGATGATGCGACCGCCACCCATATGCTTCACATCTCTCTCCGGGCAGGTTATCTGTACCAGGACTTCATTCTACACCCCCCGACCACGTATGAGGAGGCCCTTCGAAGGGTCACAGATTATGCCAACGCCGGTGAAGCGAATGCCGTAAAGCGCTCGCAGGAGGTCGGGTCTTCGTCCCGTAAACCGGCCGGCCGGGCGAAACACGGATCGGGTGATGACCATCCCCGGTCCCGCACCAGGCCTGGTGAGTTTACGGCCTTGAACCGATCCGCAGCGGAGGCCATGCAGTACGCCCAGTCCTGCAATCTCATCAAACTCCCCCACCCCGATCGAGACGGCCCCGATAAGAGTAAGCATTGCGCTTACCACAGATGTGCCGGGCATGACACTGAAGAGTGTACCCACTTGCGCCAACTGTTGGAGGACTTGCTCAATCTTGGGAAGTTGGACAAGTGTGTGGGAAGGAGAGAAGACCCCAAGAGGAACACCGATCGAAGAGATCACCGGCGTTCCCATCACCGTTCCGATCGTTCTGACCGTGAAGGACACTCCGATCGGTCAGGTCAGGACCGAAGAGACGATCGAAGAGATGATCGTCGTGATGACCGACGGGACCCTGACCCTCCGTCTAGCAGCCGACCAGCAGGAAAGCCGACCATCCACGTCATTTTCGGTGGATTGGAAGACGCTTCCCGACCACGGAGTAATTGCCCGGTCGCCATAGTGGATTCCCGGGAGACCGGGAAGAGGCAAAAGATGGAGCCCATAACCTTTACCCTTGAAGATCAACCTAGCAGCGGTGACCATGGCATGGAGGCGCTCGTGGTCACGATTGATGTGAAAGGGACGGATGTCCAGAGGGTTATGGTGGACACTGGCAGCAGTGTAAACGTCCTTTACTTGGACGTATTCGAGAAACTTGGACTTGACAGGAAGGAGCTGACTCCGGTCGGTGTACCACTGTCGGGTTTTACCGGGGCTCTTGTGTACCCCGAGGGAAAAATAACGCTCCCGGTTGAGATCGACACATCCCCGAAGTCGATCAAGACGGAGCTAGAGTTTGTTGTGGTCAACCTCCATTGCGTCCACAACATTATCTTGAGCCGACCCGCCATTATGAAGATCGGTGGGATAATTTCTATGCCCCACTTGTGCATGAAATTCCCCACCCCCAACGGGGTCGGCGTAGTCCGGCGACGTTCAATCCGCCCGGAAGTGTTACACCCGAGCGGTCAATAGACGTGACTCCGGTCAGTCTTCCCGGGTGAATACTATAGCCAAAGAGGAGGCTAAGGATCGGAAGGAGCAGCCTGAGCCTTCCGAAGAGATCGAAGAAGTTCCCCTGTCCAAGGACCGACCGGACAGGAAGATTAAAATTGGCCGGGCCCTCACCCCCGAGCTCCGAGCGGAGATCTTAGCCATACTCCGGGAGTACGCTGACATCTTTGCATGGGGGCCTGAAGACATGCCCGGGATCGATCGATCGGTAATTTGTCAAAAGCTAGCCGTCGTTCCCGCAGCAAAGCCGGTCGTACAAAAAACTCGGCACCTTTCTTCCGATCGCCGTGAGTTTGTTAGAGAATAAGTTAAGAAGATGGCGGCGATCGAGCACATCTGACCGGTGATCTATCCCGAGTGGGTGGCCAACATTGTCCTTGTTCCTAAGCCCCCAGCTTGGAGGATGTGCATTGAC